TAGCATAATTCAATGGGAAATGTGTAGAATTTTGGATGGTGCAAACAGCTTTTATATGTGGAGCAGCCTGGATTCTGGGATCCTGGAGCTAGATGGATAAGGAGAATGCCAAGATGACTCCTAAAGATCTTGTGTCATCCTCTCTTGTCAAATAAGAAGAGTCTGTGATATATAATGATGAGAAGTTTTATATGTGAGAAAGGAGGGGTTTTTTTCGCAAATATATCTTGGTTCCCATCAGTGGTCACTCAGTTAAGGAGGTTATTCTGAGCGGAGCAGGACTAAGAGGGTGAGGTTTTAAATTGGACTGTGCTCATCTTGAAAGACTGTATCTATAGGAAGGAATGTGGACGGGGGTTGTTGAAAGGAACTGCATGAGGCCTCTAGAATATATGACTAGAAATAAATTCTGCCCCCAAACACATTAAGCTTAGAAATGAGTTCCTTCTCATAGAAGTGAAACTTGGGTGACTGATTCCATCCTGTCACTGTGTAGACAACCCATCATGGCCAGTATAGGCCTTTGAACCTTCAGAACTGCAAACTAATAAATAGCCACTGTATTAAGTCATTCCGTTTGTGGCTGTTACATAAAAGAACATACACATATGGAATCACTAGGTTATAGAAAATGCATAAGTTTTGCTTAAATACATACTGTCAAATAGTTTTTAAAGTCGAGGTACCAGCTTACACCCACAAAGGTCCTTCATACCCTTTTTTACTGTTGAGGATGGCAGGCCTTTTGTTTTTCCTTATTGATGCTTACTATGCTTACTGGTATCTCCCTATGATTTTTATTTGTAGCAAAAGTTCGGGGCAGAATTTTATTTATAAGTCCACTGACCATCATGTTTTGTGAATTATCTGTTGAAATTATTGTGATAATGTTTAATTGCATTTTTCTTGATTTGTTGTTTATGATATGTGCTTGGTCAATGCTTTCCTTAATTACTAATGATTTTGTGTCCTATGTAATGTTTCAGATGTAAGCTTTTTATTGTGGAATTGATTTTTTTGTGTGTGACTCTGGTTAGACACCACATTTATGCGTTCTCTGTGGCTTCATGACCACAGTCCAGCCCGGCTTCCATACATTTTTGCCTGCCGTTCCATTCTAGGCATTGTACTGCTAGTTTTGCTGTGGGTTGATCCCTTAGGTGTGACTTGTTTTTGAATTCTTTATTCTTTGTTGCTCAATATGGTCTTTATGTGAATAAAGATATACCTATCTTTATTCCTGTAGAAAAATAAACTATTTGTATACACAATTAACAGTAAAAGTCCTTCAAATTTCTTATTCTGAATTACTTTGCCTGATATTGAATTTTTGTTAAATGTGTGCATTGTAGAATCATTTTCCCAATTTCCACTGACAAATAATCTCTTGACATTTTCATTGTGTGTCATTCCGTTGTGCTTTGTATATAATTCTGCTGAGAATTTTGCTTTAAATTCTGTAATATAATTTTTCCTATCATCAGCTAATTAAACTGTGAGTGTTGGACAGCTCCATATTAAGTTGTTTAACTGAATTGTGGGGGTCAGGAAAATTTTAGCAGTGTAGAGTAATCCACATTAACAAAAAATTCAATATCAAATGCATAATGAATGTGATAGGTGTTTGGGGCAGAGTTCACCTGCCTCAAACCTCATTTTGGACTTGATTCTGAACACAACAGGCATGTATTTGCATCACATAGTGGCCTTCCTGGTACCTAGAACACAACAACTCAGACTGTTACTCATTATGGATTGCAGTACTCTTATGATACAAAGATTCTTTTGCTCTTACAGAACCATTATGGTATAATTATTTAAAAGGTTAAGCATTTAATATTTTTATAATTATTTCTCAGTGTACCTAATATTAGCTTCTCTTTGGATTATTTCGTTAGAATAGTTGATTTTTAAAATTACTTTTTTAGTTTCATAAAATGTACTTGGATTACTTAGTTAGAATGTTTGATTTTTAAAATTACCTTTTGAGTTCTGACTTGAGTTTCATAAAATGTACTTGGAACTTCATAAAACATACTCGTATTATTTAGTTACAATGTTTGACTTTTAAAATTACCTTTTGAGTTTCTGACTTGAATTTCATAAAATGTGCTTGAAATTTGCTTGGAATTGTGACAGAATTTCTAATAATTTCGGAAATAACTCTAAACATACTACTAACATTTTCTATTATTATATATTTAGGCTTCATTTTTATATAAAGCAGCATTCTAGACATTGACAATGATAAAGTATTGATAAACTCTGAAAATATTTGAAGATGTTCTATGTCCTGAAATATCAAATATTCAGTGAAGATTTAATTCTTTGTGCAAAAATAAATAGGGCCATCCATCCTGTTAGTATGAAAGTTTACAATCAATTTTAGTAAATGACAAAATCTTATGGAACTAGAGAACTATTTAAAAATAAATTTATGATATATTATTAGCAATTGTTTTATTGGTGTGCCTACATTATAGGTCATCATATCTGGGACTCCATAAGATTTTGGGGGACTCAGTGGGAACCACGAACATAAAAAGTTTGTAGAAGCCCAGTTCTAACCCACAGTTAACCATGCTGCACCTTGTATTAATGGCAGTTTGCTTTAATCTCTTTCAGGAATGATACAGTGATTTCTGTCCAAGAATCTTGTGAGATTTTACTGTTTTGTGCTTGATACTTTCTCAGGTTACAGGAAATGGCATTTCAAATTTTTCTTTACATAATTTCTGATCTTAGTATAGAGAAGTATAGTTCAGTTTTATAATATTGATTTTTACAGCTTGTGACTATGTTAAATTAATTTATTCTAATATTTGATATGGTCAGCCTTTACATTTTTTACAAATACTTTTTCTTTTAAAGTTGGATAATCTTGCTCCAAAAAACTGACAAATGCATGTCATAGGCAATATTCTACTGCTGTGAAGAGACACCATGACCACGACAGTTCTTTTAAAGGGAAGCATTTATTTGAGGCTTGCAAATAATTTCAGAGATTTAGTCCATTGTTAGAACGGTGGCAAGCATGCAGGCAGACATAATGCTGGAGAAGTAGCTAAGAGTTCTGCATCTGGATCCCCAGGCAGCAGGAAGAAAGAGAGAGTAGGCTTGTTGCCTCAGTGATACACTTCTTCTAAAAAGTATCAGGCAACAAGCCTACAGGCAGCATGTGAGTGCGCAGATGCACACACACACACACACTCACACTTCCACATATATGGACTATCATTGTCTGATATTTTAAAATCTGTACTAAGTGATTCCAGGAACCAATCCACCCTATTCTGATTTCTTACTATTTTAATGTTTCACTTGACACTATATTTCCCTCATTTTTTCAGATGCTATATTTTTCTTTCATGTATTAAGTGCTTTCTACTCCATTCTGGTTTTGTCCATTATATCCTATTCAGTTGTCCATATCATAAAGTTCAAGTATGCATTTCCTTCCCCATTCATTCTAGTGTGTACTCAGTCTCCATTTCATCGAATTCTGGTTTCTGTTTCAAATCCATTTGCCATTCCACCTTATTAGACACACTAAACACTATCCTATTCAATTTTTGTGTCCAAGTCCAGTTGCTAATCCATTCTGCTAAGTGTCCCTTTTGGTTCTGCTATAATTATAAATGTGCATAGGCTTATACCAAGAATTTCTTCCTTTCAGGATTGATCTATAACGAAGACACATTTGAGTATATGAGCAATCTTTAGTGAGTACAATGATATGTATCTCACACTGATATGAAAAAATAGAGAGAGCATACATATTGGTCAGTATAAGAATGTTTGAAAACATATGTTTCCTCCCTAAATACTTCATTGTTGTTTTCAGACTGGGTCTCATGCAGCCCAGGGTGATCTTCAAATTGAAATCCTCCTCTCACCCTTCCCTAGTGCTACAATCACAGATGTGAGATACCACACTCAGCTTCTTGTCATCAAGTATTCATTGACATGGAAAATGTATTTTCTGAATCCCCCAAAAAAGTTACAAACAATACTTATGCATGAATAATTCTATTTTCATAAAACGAAGAAATATGTATAAATGACCAGTCTATTGAAGATATAATCTTTCCCCGTATTTGATTGTACGCGTAAGAAAATTTAGGTGCTAGTTTTGGTATATTTACTTTTCAGTTTCAGGTCACCAAAACCAACAGCCCTAATGTAGTAATTTAAAATGTGTATAAATATTAAACTTTAAAATTTGTGTGGAGAAAAAAAAACTAGAAGAGGAGTTCAAGTAAGTTAATTCATCAGCTGAATCTAAAGCAGTCTGACACCTCAGTGCAAGACAAGGAAAAGCATCTTACAAGAAAATTGTAAAACTCGGCCTTGTATTTGGGATCTGACATTCCTTGCCGAACATTCTAAATCCAAGACAATGTGTACCTTTAAAATCCTTATACCTCTCAGCAAACTTAAAATCTACTAGACCCCCTAGCCGGGTCACCTGGTTACTTAAAGGGGAGCCGTAAGGCCTAGGAGATAGAACTTAATGGTCAGCGGGTAGTAAATGTTTAAAGTGATTCCCGGACCGATCACAGAAAGTCACAACTCATTTAGTATGTTACAGGTAATTCATGTAGATGTTCCCACTCAGGTCAGGGTGAAAGGACTGTGAAATTTAGACTATTGACCTTGGAAAGTGATGGGGGAGGGTGCGGTGGCAATGGAAGAAACCACCAGAAACCACTAGAAGTTTCCCTGGCCTCCTCCGGCCCAGCAGGAGGCATTGCCAGGTGGAATGAGGTTCTGGATATGCAGTTACAGATTACTTACAGCTGACCAATCAGAGGCTAGAATTTGGCCAGTCCCACCCTCTCTCCTATTGTATCCGGCCAGTCCCCCCCACACTCTCCCACTGTATCCGGTCTCTACCCAGCATCCTCGCTGGGTCTCAGGCAGCCACTTCACCGCACGAAGCCGCCGAGAAGCCGCTGAGAAGCCATTTCTCTGAGTCAGTCAGAAGCCGTTAAGCCAACATGGCCACGAAGTCTCCCCCAGAGAAGGTGCTGAAGGCACGTAGAGACACTGTCAGGTCCCGAGGTAAAGCTCCCGCTGCTTCGCTTCTCCCAGGCCACAGTGACACCTCAGCGGCCGGCCAGGGCCTCAGAGCTGAAATGACTGCAGCCGACGCCATCTCCATGACTGGTGAAAACCTGGGGCTATTTTCTGTGCCTGAGAATCAGCATTTCGACCCTGGGGGTAGCCGTGGCCCAAACATTGAACTTGGAGGTGTTAGGCCCAGGACGAGAAGCCAGAGAGAGGTAGGCCAAACCCCGAAAGGCGGGAAAGGCGGGAAAGGCGACAGCGGGGCCCCGGCTCAAACAAAGAGCAGTAGAAAGAGGAAGCAGCCCAACCAAAGCCCAACTACAGAATGTGCAGGTGGGCTTCAGCTTCCGGAAGCTCTAGAGTCGCCGGGTACACCTCAGCCACCATCTTCTCTGAGCTCTCAGCCTAGCAGCAGCCACCATTTTGAACTTTCAGTGGGGAACCTAGAATCCCCAGGGCCTACCCTCAGGAGCAGCACCGCGCGAGGCAATGTGTCTACTCCAGCCCCTAAGGTCCCGAGACAAGCCGTTCTGACTGTTTCTGGTCCTCACAGCCGTGCACCTGAGTCCAGCTGTGAAGGGCGCGACCACTCCACCCCTGTTGGCCAGGAACTCTGTCAACAGGCCCCCCTGCAGGTTCCTGATGATGGACTTTGTCACAGCGGTCCTGACCTCAAAGGCAGTGTGACCCCTGAAGTCAGGGTTCTCCGCTCTCGAGTCATAACATTTGGTGGTGATAGCAGTGCATCGGTGGTCAGCCCTGAAGTTCGCCCCGAAGCCGACAGCATCCGCAGGAGTTTACGTCCTCGGGCCACTCCGCGGGTTCCTGTTCTTTACAAATATACCCTTGGGTCTAGTTCTGATAGCAGCAGCCGTCCAACACCGCGCAGAAGCAGCCGCATTGCATCCAGACTTGGCTCTGACCACCAACAAAGCCATAAAATAAAGATGGAGCTGAACCTGGAGCTGGAACTGGAGCCGGAACCAGAATCAGAGCCAGAATCAGAATCAGAATCAGAATCAGAATCAGAGCCAGAGCCAGAATCAGAGCCAGAGCCAGAGCCAGAATCAGAGCCAGAATCAGTATCAGAATCAGAGCCAGAATCGGTATCAGAATCAGAGCCAGAATCAGAATCAGAGCTGGAGGAAGAGGCAGAGCCAGAACCTGGTCCAAGCAGCCGTGCGCAAGCAAGGCTTTCCACCTTTAGGCCTGCAGTTCGAAGGAGACCCACACGCTCTCCTCCAAGGCGCCCAGTCCGTATGCGGGCCTCTTCCCCTTCTCCTCCTGGTAGGCTCTATCCTTTCCCTGGGCAGTATAATGAAGGTGCCAGTTCTTCCTCCTCATTCACCAACGAGGATGTCTCCTGTGTTTCAAGTTCCCCTTCTTTCCCCCATAAGTCACCAGAACGGGACTCCTCATCTCCATCAGGTGACTTAAGCTCTGTCTCTGGTCCTAGTTCTGATACCCTTTGGCGTGCCTTTATACCTGACCTGGATAACCTTGATTCTGCCCCTTCTGGAGAGTCAGAGGAAGAAATAGAGATTGCCCCTCACCCTCCTGCATAGGAAGAAGTGTAGGGGATTCCCCTTACTCCTATACTCCACCCTTGCTGTAATTCATGGTGAGAGTTCTCCCAGACTCACAAAAGGAATAGGCGCTTATCCACTGTTGGCTGTGTGATTGATTATTTGTGAGGTTTCTAGGGGTTTCTACCTATTCACTAGTAGTCTGAGCAGTTTTGAGGTCCCCTGTTCCCCTCACCCCAACTATCTAGCACTTATAAGGACTTTGGTTCCATTCAGTACCCCCTTTTAAAACAGCCTGGGTTGTTTGTTATTAGGTTTGGGTGGGGGGGTTGTTTTATTTTTTGCTTCTGAGTTTTTATGTAGTTAAGTATTTTAATAAAAGTGTTGTTTTATTTTAGAAATTTAGTGTCTCTTTATTGCGGTGCTACTTTTAGGATTTTATGTTTGGAAAATTAAGAAGCATTATTATACTGACTTGTTTGAAATGAATGAGGGAAAAATATTCCACTGTCTGAGGTGGAGCTCTGCCCAACAAGTTACCACTTACCCTCCTGTCTAGCTTCTCAGCATAGATGATTTGTAAACCTGGATAAAAACCTGTGAAGAGTCAGAAAAGGGGGAGGGTGGCAGGATCTCAAGTGAGGAGGAAAAAATGGAAAGTGAGGAGGCTGAGAAGACTGAGGAGGGGGGAGGAAGGGGGAAAGGATAGCTAAGATCCAATGCCTGAAGATAGGGGCTTCTATTTTCATAGTAGAACAGTATGTGTTGGAAGTGGGTAGGGAGAGGGAGGGAAAGGGGTGGACTTTGGGAAGTCTGGGATGAGGCTTAGTCATAGAAGGACTAAGGTGCTAGTAGTCATCAAGTATTTGAAAATGTGTTCATAAAAACTACCATTGTAAAAATGTTGGTACATACGGGAAGCAGACATTCGGAGAGAAATGGATGAATAGTGTGTTTCCTTACTCGTTGGGATGATATGGTATTCAGTGGTTTATATTTTTCACTTTGATGACAGAACTACTATAACAAATTAGCAGCTCAAAAACTTAAGCTGGAAGCATAGTAGGAGATCAAAGATAGAGTTAAAAAATATATAAAGCCAGGAAAATCCCCCCCACCTCATTTCTCCTCTCTTTTTCTGGTATATGGCCCAATACAAGCATAAACCCTAGCTTAGTCCTGACCCTTTATATTTTAGAAAGTAATTCCTAAGAAGCATTATTAATGCTTCTAAAAATCTGACATTTCACAGAAACAAGTGTCCACTAAGAAGTGCCCTGCCACTTTTGAAGAAAGTTTCACATGTCCCCATTCCCTAAGTCTGCTTCCAGGGATTTCAAATTTCTAGCCTCAGTCTTTCCAAAGGTACATGTGTGAATGAGAACACACACACACGCACACACACACTTATGTTTAGGCCCCAAAAGTAGTTGTGAAGATACCTATGATAACAAAGGGCAGAAAAAAACTTGAATATATAGGCTGAGGCATTCACAGGGTTAGGTGTGGGACATCTCATGGAAAATGGAAAGGGGAAATTGAGAAAACGGGTCAGGACATTTGTTTGTACTCTTCCATAGACCAAAAAAGGTTAGTGTCTTGCCAATGTGTATAAACCAAGAGTTTTGAGAATTCTGCTGTGCTGTTACTCCTCACCTGTAGTGTCCCTTGAGCTTCTCTTGCACTTGCCTGGTATTGAAAACTCAAAGCCTTTCCAGGTTCAGCTGTTAATTGCCAATGGTAGGCTAATTTGTGTTTCTCTCCTTATCCTTTTAGAAGCTGTGCCATTATAGCTGCCCCTCAGTAGACACAAGTAATTGATTCCAGGAACCCCACTGGCTACAAAACAAACCCTCCCAACTCCCCCCCCCAAACCAAAAAACAGACAACCAAACAAACAAAAACTCCATAGATGCCCAAGTAACTTTAACAAATGAGATAGTAACCAATCACTGTGGTATATGCTTGGAGTCCTGGGTATTCAAGAGGAACCTGAAGGAGATTGCTTGAGTCCTGGAGTTTGAGGTCAGCTTGGGCACCAGAAGGAGTTCATAATCCCAGAAGAGGGAAAGAGCATACAAGATTTATATTAAACCTGTGTTCATCTCCCATAGTTAAATATTCTCTAAGTTACTTAAAATTCTAAATTCAGTGCTAAGTAAGAAGGTATGAATATTGTTTGGGGAATAAGGGAAATGCACTCATTTTTTACAGATATATTTTTACTCCTAAATGGTTTTGATAATACAGTTGGTTGGATCTGGGAGTGCAGATCCCACAGGCAGAGAGTGTTGACAGTTTATCCTTCCCTCGAACATAGATACTGATATCATATACATAAGGTGATGGGTAATGCATTTTTCCATATTCACCTGAATCTTTAGGTACTAGATGGTATCTTATAGCCTAGATTTGTGGAAAATATCTGTGCCCTGGTTAGTTGGTATTTTTTTAATCAGCTTGGCAGAACTGAGAAGACGTAACACAGCTGAGACGATGCCTCCATAAGACTGGCCTTCCACAAACCTGTAGAACATTTTCTTGATTCCTGATTCATGTGAGAAGGCTCAGCTCACAAGAGGGGACCAGTGGGTTGGGGTGGAGGTGTACCACCTCTCAGCAGTAAGCAGCTTTGCTCCATAGCTTCTGCTCTGACTTCCTTTGATGATGAATCTGTGGTGCGTAAATGTAACCCAGATTACCACCCCTGCAGTTGTTTTGGCTCATGGGGTTTTATCACAGCAATAGAAACCCCACAATAACATACATCATGTTTTGTTCTCTGTATTTGTTTTGTTTTTATGTGGGCTTGGGGCTAGAGGCAGAGGTTTGGGAGTAGGGGTAGTCCTTAGAGCCACTACTGTCACCAATTTCTCTACTCCCAAATGTCCTTACTTCTTGAACAATGTGCCTGATGATGCCAACAGTGTTGTGTGGTCAGGCTGTTTACATTTCTAGAAATAATATAATGGATTCCATTATCTTCACTAATGGAATAAAGTAAGAGAAAGATAATATTTAGATTTAAACATGAGAATAAAAACTCACTAAATATATGTGCCACAAAAATCTTTAAAACAAAAACAAATACAGAGGACATAAGAGTTTTGGAGATTTTTGTTGTTTTTTATTTGTTTGTTTCATTTGTTTGTTTTCAGATACAGTCTCTCATAGCCTAGGTTGCCTTCGAAATTGGCCTGTAGCCGAAACTGACCTTAGCTGCGCCTCCTGCCTTCATCTGCAGAGTACCAAGACAATAGGCATGTGACAGCAATATCTACTTTATATGGTACTTAGGACTGAACACAGGGCTTTCTGAATACTAGGCGAGTACCCTACCAACTGAGCTACTTTATTAGCCTTGGAACATAGACTTATTGTTCTGTTTCTTTTTTGTAAGTAACTTTACAATTTTCAATGGCTCAGACTAGAAACAGACTATTTATTTATTCATCTATTTGTATGTATTGCCAGAGATCAAACCTTGAGCCTCACAAAATGCTAAGCAAGCACTCTATCACTGGGCCACACTCCAAGCCCTAGAAATAGACTATTTCTAATACAGTAAGTCATACACCTTATAATTAATGGAGAGCCATAGCCAGCATTTATTTACAGTTTGCAGCTGTGGAAAGTGAGGAAACAGGCAGTTTTATGAGCTTCAAAATACCATGGCAAACAGAGACTAGCTCTGCAGTCTGTTTGGAGATTTGAATTCTGGTTTTCGATTTGTCTCACTGTCTGTTACTTGACAAGCTGGTTAATCTGAAATCCTCTGGCCTTCCTTTTGTCACTGGTCACAGTAATAGTGAATACCCCTGAGATTGTAGTAAGGATTAAAATAGCCTGTGTATCTGCCTGGCATAGAGTGAGTGATGGTTTCACTGTTATTAAGATTATGATCATGAGTACCAGAGATTTATTTTTTTATACTGCAGTATCTGGATCTTAAAACATTTTCATTTGTCTGCCAAGCAAAAATACTTTAAAATTTAATTAAACTTATTTATGACATTTAAAGTATAAAGGACTTTTCACAGGCTGTTGAGCAACGTTTTGTGATATTGGAGATATCTGAATAAAATGGAAAATAAAGTATTATATCTCTAAGGAGCAGTGATCCTGAAATAAGTAGGTTTTTTTTTCTGAGTGTTAGTTTCATCTTGTTTCATTGTATGATTTCATTTTAATGAATTAGCATATATATTGGGTTAATATTTTTGACTGAAAATTACATTATACCTTACAAGTAGATCTAACAGATATAAATCAGGATATGCTTCTGTGGGTAAATACTACTTTAATGTTTATACACACATAATGTTTAATATGCAGAGCATCCTTACAAAGTATATATTCACAGTGAGCCCATTTTAAGTAATAGAAGCAATATAAAAATAATATTAGCCAGGCAGTGGTATTCTTTAATCCCACTACTCAGGAGACAAAGATAGACAGATTTCTATGAGATTGAAGCTAGCCTGCTCTATAGAGCTAGTTCCAGGACAGCCAGGAACACAGAAGCCCTGTCTCAAAACAAAACAAAACACAAGAAATGGATAATATGAAAATTTTAGATTTCGTAGTGGTCCTTTGTATACTTCCTTTGTAACGGAGATGGCATGGCATGCCCTTGCAGAAAGTACTATTTCACAAAGTGTGAAGGTTTGGGACCTTCATCTACTATTTATTGTGAAGAATTTTGTATTTTTAAAAATCAGTCAACTCAAACTTCCTATGGAGAGTTAAAAATTCCAAGGCAACATTAATTCAAAGTCACATGTACAAATAATTGTAACATGTTATAATTTATTATAGGGGGAATACTAAACTGCTCTATGCAAGAATCATGTTTAGAAAGTGGCAACAGTTGGCCTGTAAGATGACTTAGCTGGTAAAAGCACTTGCTGCCGAGCCTGAATACCTGAACTTGATCCATGGGATATGCCCTTGGTAGATGAAGAGAACTACTTCAGCAGATCGCCCACATACCCACATACATACACAAACAAATAAATATGATGAAAAATGTAGCACAA